TATTATGTAAAAAAAAAAACAAGAATCGACACGATGTACAACATTTAAAAAACTTTTAAAAAGGCAACTGAACAGGCCCACTTCTCATTCAAATAGCTAACAACTGTTATTATCAAGAACACATAAATGTATAAAATGTGTGTGAAGGAACATTACATTATATACAAAATGTAAAATATAACTAACCAAATAATTAAAATATAATTAAACAAAACAATCTATCAAAATCTATTAAAACACACACAATCCTGTGCACTCTCACACACACATGTGCACACTCACACACACGCACTCACAAACTGGCTGGAAAACTGTTTTTCTACAGGCTTGTAATACCTTCTTGCTAAAAGACAATTGATTTCACAGGTTATTTCATTTGGATGTATTCTTTGCCTTTAACGATGACTGACTTCCTTTTTGTCACACTTTAGACTGTTGTACAGTCACATTGGATTTGAAAGCAACACCCTTTCCGCCATACATCCATGCTACCTGAAAGACGACAGCTTCCTGAATCCAACGATACCAGTTATTTGCACATCGGACCTCCGCTTCACCAGATACGGCCAGGTAAGCTTTGGCCAATCAGATTGCATATGCTAATGAGGGTGAAACTCGCTTTTACCTATATACCTAGTTGCAATTAACCCCAGACTAGCCACTAAACCTGAACCTTAAACCTGCTAGCCCAAAGCTAACCCTCAGAACAATGCCCTCTTGTGGAGAACCCCATCACTGCGTTGCGATTCTACGCTCTCCAACAAACACACACGCGCACACAAGGCCACATGTGAATTTAAACTTTACAGGGCAGCACAAATACAAAACCCGAGCAGCCGGACACAGACTAGGCAAAGAACCTCTTTAATGGTTTTCATCTCTTATCCAAACACTTAACTGTTTGTAATCCGGAAAAACAACTTCTCAACTAAACTTACCTCTCACACACACCTGAGCGACACAGACCTATGCCGTGTACCCCTGGATTAAAATACAATGATAAATCATTCACATTTAAATCATCATCATCAAACTTCATTAACACAAAACCTAATCAAATTCTGTAAGAAAAAGCATCAAACTCATCTATCTATCTATCTATCTATCTATCTATCTATCTATCTATCTATCTATCTATCTATCTATCTATCTATCTATCTATCTATCTATCTATCCACATCAGCACCTAACACTTAACACAACCTTTGAGGGGAACAATATGTTCTTCCTTTACATGTTCAATAGTCTAAATTGCTCAAGCTTACCTGCTGTTTTCTCTCAAATTGTTTTCAAATCTGACTTCTAATGATGCACTCTCTCTCTGTCTCTCGCTCTCTCTCTCTCGCTCACACACACACACACACACACACTCATGTGTGGAGTAAATAAACTATTAATTGTAGTTTAATGCAGTTGACTGGTTTACTGATTTGTTTAATTTTGAAATGATGTTTCATTCTGTTTTGACTTGCCATTTCAAATAATACATTTAAACAATACTACACTTCATTAAAATGTCTGTGATCATTTAACCATTATCATGCAATATTTGATTTATCTTATTTACCATGGGTCACATAATATGATGTCAGGTCACAAGCCTGATTTGGGATACATGATTACTGGACTGATCTGGACCACACACCAACAATCGGCTTTCATATTGTTTGCCGTGATCCACGCGTTGCCATCATTGTCACACATGGCCCAGCTCCGGCTGAAAGGGTGCCATTGCCGACAGGAGACCAGCAGTGCCAGCTTTAGGCCACATTTGGGCCAAGATCGCTTGCGATGTGGGCACCCTACAAGCTTAAGGTATAACTTAAGAATGACGTAGCATTAAGAAGGTTTCTGGAAACACACGCTTGGGCTCTTCATAAGCAAGATATGTAAGATAGTAGTGCTATATTTTTGGGACAACAACCTGAAAATGTCTCAAGATGTCGTAACTATGGTTAAAACAGAATAACTGACAACTTCGGCCTGCATTAATTTTGTATTTTTAATATAATGATTATTTATCAATACTTGTACACAATATTAGTACGTATCTTGGCTTAGGGTTCCCATAATCCCGTAATAATTGTTTTGTAGAAAGATAATCTATTCCAGTTTATTATTGTGTTTTTATGATAGTGTAAAAAGAACAGAATGTTGCAACCTAGAAATGCATTCTTAGTTTACATGTGCACCTGCTTGTCTCATTTCTTTAACAAACGATTTAATGTTCAAAAAGAAGAATGTTGCATATAACATATATCCACACCAATTTACAGAGCAGAAAGCTGAACGATTCAACAATGATCTGTATTTCTAAACCTTTGAACATCATGCTAACCCCGTTTCACTTAAAGAACTTTATTTAAAGAAACTAGCTGACATCAAATATTATTAAATGTGTATTTTATTAATGATAGTTTCTCTTCAATTAACATTGCAGATACAGAATTTAAAAAAGAGAAAAATTCAAAACAGGAGACAAACAGAACTTTAATCTTTATTGTAAGATTGGTGAAAGTGCCAGAGACAAATTCTGTGCTATATATTATTATTATTATTATTGTTGATGTTATTCTTATTTTTATCAGTAATATCAGAAATGCTCATGAAACAATTTGCCACTCTCTTAGAAAATACCAACAGTTTCTTTCATGAATGTCACTAGATTGTCTTAATTTTATTACCATTTCAATTTATATTTACACAATATGACATAAAATACAAGAAAAAAGCCTTGTAAAAATATGATCATTAAAATAACGTTCAAATAATCAGATTGGTGTCCTCTCAGATCAGAAGTTCAGCACCAACAGATTATTCCAAACCGAGGTGACATTTACAAACTGGGAATCTGGGCTCTGCTTGGGATGAAATGCTTCACGACCCTGTTGTTTTTCTCGCCACCTTTCAGAGTTACAGATTTTTGCATATAATCTGTTCCTTATATTAAAAAAGGACTATTTTGGCATGGCTGATCAAATAAACACTGTGAACAGGATATGGGGTCTGGCGATGATGTTATGCTGTTCTGTATGGATTGGCACAACAATGCTTTTACCCCCTCATAAGCCGTTTCAGCTACACTAGTTCCTGGTTCAGTTTCCCCGTGTATCCGCCAGTGCATCTGAGAAGGCAATATACATGTACCCACCATCGCTAATTGCCAGCTTTGGTTTCACTTCATTTACATGCTAACAGAGTTGTAGAGCATTCATTAGACTGACAGTGAGGCTAATAAAAGACATGGCGTCTAACGCTAAACTGAACGCCTTGGCTGTGCATGACGGGGGCAGCTTCATGAAGAAACGTCTGGACTGTCCAGCATAAGAGGGCTGAATAACTAACCCTCCTATAATACACTGGACATTTACTCGACCCTCTACCGTTTTTCCCTTAATGTATTTAAGCTGCCCCTAGTGACCGACACAGGACTGGCCCTTAGTATAAAATGAGGTAAAAACTGGCCCAGGTCTGCTCCTTCCCCTCTACGATCACTACAGTAGAACGAGAAACACGGATGAGCTGGAGAGCAGTGGTGTCATGGCAGTATCTAAGAAACTGTGAGAGACGCAGTACCGCTCTTAACCTGTGGATGGCGTCTGGTGGAGCAGCAGGAGGCACTACAGTGGAGGATAGAGACATGGATTTGTATCGTAAGCACTTTTTCTGGTGAGAAATATTGATAATTATATAATAAATTGAATGCATATCTAATTGTTTTGCACACTCAGGAATGAATGCCAGAATTGTGGGGAAAATAAAAACAGTAAGTGGTTTTGCCTTGCTCATCCATGATTTGACAGGACCATTATCAAAACATTAGTTTTTTTTCTGAAATTGGTGAGCTAAAATGTCCCTCCGGTGCTTCTATTAATGAAATGTGACCTACTGTGTGTCTTTCCAAGCAAATCCTTTTGTTACAAAAATATATATTTTTTCTTTTAAAATAATAATACAGTTTTTCTTAAGTTCTCCCTATCAAGCTGAACAGCAAAGCTGTTTTCTTTTCTAACAGAAAGTCTCAGTAGCTTAGAGAGAGAAATGGATAGCAGCAGAGACAGTAGTGCGTCATATAGACATCTAGTTTTTCCCCTTGAACGTCATCTGCTCGCTCGTTCATTCGGGAAGAAGAAGAGCTTTCAGGCCTCAGGAGCATTTGCATAATGGTGTTTTTCATCAAATTAGAGACATCTCACCAACTGACCAATAAAAAAAAATCTCAAAAGCAAAAACAGCACAATCCCACAAATTCTATAAAAACAAGTATTGTACTTGAAAACTACAAGTTAAGAGAAAAACACAACAGGTCAGCGTTTACTTTGTCTCGCGTGTCTCTGCTCAGTCATTTTATAAGGGGAAAAGTAAAAATCAGACATTTGAAAAAGAAAAGAAACCACAAACATATGTACAAGACCCTGTATTCCTTGAGAGAGTATGAAGGAGCAGTCTGTGAGAGAACAAACCTCCCCAGATAGCACACGTACATCTGTACGTCTGTTAAAGATCATTTGATCTGGAAAGCATCTGCTGTACATACATCTGACAGACGTCTGTAAGAAATCAGTTTTACAAACATTCTAAATCAAAGACGTCTACAAACATCTGTGTACAAACATCTGAGAGATGTCTGAAAAGTAATCAATTTTGCACACATTCTAAATCATAGCTGTCTTTAAGATGTTTATTTGACATCTAATAGGAAACATCCTATAGATGTATTGCAGATGAGCAAACACTCTAAAACATTGGTCTCAAAGTCAATTCCTGGAGGGCCACAACTCGGCACAGTTTAGCTCCAACCCTAATCGAACACACCTGATCCAGATAATCAAAGTCTTCAGGATCACTAGAAACTTCCAAGCAGGTGTGATTTGAAGCTGGTTGGAGCTAAACTCTGCAGAGTTGTTGCACTCCAGGAATTGAGTTTGAGACCACTGCTCTAAAAAAAAAAACGTCTTCCAGATGTAAATGCAGATGTCAAATAGACATTTCTGTGATGTACGTGTGCTATCAGTGTCCCCGTCGGCCTGTCTTCATCGCGTCCCTTCGGTTTCCACCCCCTACGTGTGAATCGCAGTGCAAAGTCAACAGCAGCAGTTTGTAAGGGTCTTAATAAGTGCCATTTGCAGAAACGTCCCTTCCCAACGGCGTCACCAGATCACGCTGGAAATGCTGGTCTCACGGGGCAGCAGCGGAAGCATGGCGTTGTTGACGTGCTGCTCCTCCAGCGCTTGCTGCTGCTCGCGGCCCGGCTTGCACTGCACCCGCTGGCCATTCAACAGAGTCATGGGGATGTTGCAGTAGGTGTGCTGGCTGCCCAGCGAGGACAGCGGCGGGAGAGTGCCGGACGAGGGAATGTCGTACTCGTAGCTCCTGTAGTAGTGCTTCTGCTGCAGCTGCGTGTGGTAAGTGTTGTGGAAGGTGGAGCGCAGCTCGGGATGCGCGGTGGCCATGGCGGTGGAGGTGGCCGCGGCCATAGAGATGGCAGAGACGGTCTGCAGCTCTCCAAACGGGCCCTGCTCGCTGACGTCCAGCACCTGCTCATGCGACAGCTTGGGCTCGGGCCGCTTAAAGGGCATTTCGTACTGCAGCTGCTTCCAGAACTTGGAGTTGAGCTTGCTGCTCTTGGGTCCCGGCCACTTGATGACCGTCAGCAGTTTGATGGTGTGTTTGAGAGCCTCCACCTCCTGGTAGTTCATGATTCCCCGAAGCTCGGCACATTCAATGAGGATGACTTTGATCTCGCCGCTGACCATCATGTTGCGCAGCCGCGTCTCCAGCTCGAAGATGCTCCAGCCGCGCCTCACCACGTAGTTGGGCGTCATCACGATGATGAGGCGTTTGCTCTGGTCAACGCAGCGAGCTACATCCTCGATATACGCTGAGAGAGAGAGAGAGACTAAATGAGAAAGCTTCAAATCTGGCAAACATATCATTATCATTCTTGCTTTTATTCAACCAGTTTTGCTTTGAATATGACAGCATGCAGTTAAAACAGAAGAAAACGCAAATCTAATGTGATCTACGCTGTAAAAAAAATTCTTAAAGACACTCTTTGTGAAATTTACTAGCAAATTTTGAGTAAAATCTGATTTAAAGCCAATTTTGTTCTGGGTAAAAACTGCCATAGCACAACACTGTATGTAAAACTCTCTGTCAAAGAACTTCACTAAGTTGTGAAATAAAAACAGCAGAATGACTCAATGAACACAATGAAAACATAGAAGGGGGAACAGGACAGACATCGAACACAAATACTCATCTGAACAAGACCCTGTGGTGGTTCCTAAATTTTATATATTAATCTAATCCAGCATAGGTGAGAAAACTAAACACGTTCAGTCTAAACCTGACAAATGGGGCTGCAAATGACTTTCCTTCATTGGTCACAACTGTGGCTTCAATCTGGTGAAAGTGAGAGTTATCTTTGTGTTTGTGTGTGTGTGTGTGTGTGTGTGTGTCTGTCAGATGACCACACCATAGGACTGGGCAATATGTAAAAAAATATCTTAACAATAATCACCTTAAATAATATATCGCGATAAACAATAATATTGTATACAATTTATTTGTGTTTGTGTGTGTGTGTGTGTGTGTGTGTGTCTGTCAGATGACCACACCATAGGACTGGGCAATATGTAAAAAAATATCTTAACAATAATCACCTTAAATAATATATCGCGATAAACAATAATATTGTATATCCAAGACCCGCCACCGCTGGAATCACCAATGCCAACAATAAAAACAATTTATGCACCATGTTCAGATTGGCTGCACTTTATCTAATGATAACCAGCGATTCAGTTAGTTTAATTATTAACATGTTAAAGGTTGGTTTTACTTTTCTTAGTTTGTGCTTAAACTATCAGAAAACATGAGCTTTTCTGCTGTTCTTTTTAAATGTGTTCGAAATTAATTTCATTTTGTGAGGAGAACTGTTGAGAAAAGTTGAATAGAACTCAATTTTAGGTTCATCATGGTGAAGGTGGACATTCTGCAGGTGATTGTAAGAATGATAAATGCATGTTGGTGTCACATAGTAATGTCTTGAATAAAATACGCCTATTTTTCAGATGTTTCTCTTTCTTTTTGGCATTATCACCTGAGTAGACACCTTTCATGATGGTAAGTTTAATTTCCTTGATTATAACATTTGTAGCACTGTTTTTAAACTTGTAATCAAGCTATAATTAGTTAAAATGCAATTCACACAATTTCCTATAATGGGGCTGCCAACACTGGAAACTGTATACCCTAAAGTAAAAGGGTATTCACTGAAGAATACCCTAAATAAGGATAAAGGATGTGGGAACTCATCTCCTGGATAATCACATACACAGACACATGTTGCCATTACAGTAGTCAGTGCCGAACAAAAGGCAAATAAAATACAGGTGTTACAAAATTGATTCAGTCTATATCAGTGAGTGATTTTCTTTTTCTTTTGTACTTTGATTAACATGAATGACAGGCGGCAGCGGGTTAATGCTGCTGTCAATGCACAGATGCAAAACACCCGTGTTTTCTTTCTCAACTGTTTACGTTCACTTAAGACGTTACCATCTATGTTTACAGGGATATTTTGATATAATTCTGTGTATTTGTCCATTCAAGTGGAAGAAGACAGAAACAGACCTCAGTTTAGTGTTCATAGTGCAGAAATGAGTTCTTTCATCTTCTTGCGCTTGAATCTTTTAAAATGGCATTAAAATGCGCACACAGGAATCGTTAAGTGGGTTTAATTTTATAGCAAATAATTAGATTGCTGACCTTATGCATCTGATTTCCAGAATTGAAACCACTTTTTTCCAGGTTTTTATTATATTGTCAATAATCATCTGTTACCTGACTCTTGACATCGACATTGTCTATATACAATACTATCATCATATCGCCCAGCCCTACTACATCAGTAGAGTAACACATTTAGTCAAAAAGGTATTATTGTTAAATGCAGTCATCAAGCTTTATGAGTTCTATCTTCTCTTCCTTGTCTCTTTCTCTGCCCTTACTTCACAACAAATGAAACGGAAGAACATAACACTTTCCAAACCCCACCCGTCCAAAACCACTCGCTCTCTAACAGGAGAAACTCCCAAAGCCTCTCTTAGACTCATCCAAGTCGATCGCTTTATCTCATTTTCTACATTCACAACATATGATGGTGTACAGCTCAACCTGAATGCCAGTTAAGTGCCACGTTCCAATTTCCCCCAAAGGTGAAGTCTGCAAAAAGGTGCAAGTCAGATTTGTTGGCACAAGTGGAAAAGGCCATGAAAGAATACCTCTAAGGAGTCTTGTGTCATCCTGGAAATGATCATTGGTGAAACCTAGACATAAATATTTCAACATTGAAAGTCTGATCAGCTGATTCAGCAGAAAGTCAATCAGAGAAACAAACAAGCGAGGACTTCCACAAGAGAAACTGGCATAACTGTGTATTTTTGCCTTAGGATTGTCAGTTACGATCACCAGTTTATCCAGTTTAATATGGGACTTGTAGCTGCAGGGCTAACAGAGCTAACAGAGTAACATACACTTACACTTCCCTTCATTTTAGTTGTCCACATCCGTGAAGTGATTTACATAAAACATGGTTTAAGCTGCTCAGTGAAGAGCCAATAACTCCTAAACACAAACATGAATCAATGCTTTCTTAGCCCAGATTGTGAGCACTTCGTCCCATATTAACATCTAAAAGTCCCCGGACAACAGACATGAATGTAGACAAAACACACACGCAAATGTGTGAAATAAAAGTGAAAAGGGCAAGACAGAAGTGTTAAGTCAGACCAGCAAATAAAAACATACAAGCGAACAAGAAGCAAATCATGTTCAAGAAGCTTCACTCAAAGCACTGTTATAAATATTTTTTTGAATTGAAAGAAAATTACTGACCAAACAAAGCTTATAAAACAATAGACACTTGATGCTGAAAAAATGATGCTGAAAATAAACATGAAGCATTCGATAGGCTGAAGATGCAGCACTACACATATAAAAGTTTACAAATGATCACACACACCTAACAACAAATGCAACTTACTTCCAGTTGGTATCAAGTCCCTGTCAGGAATGAAGAGTTTATACCCATAATGCTTTTCCAGAACGTCTGGCAGAATCTCCAAAGCAAAATGTTCCTCCTCTCTGGTTTCCTGACTCCACTGGTCTGGATCCACTTTTGTGTAGGACACGTATGCATCATAGTCTTTATTTTCTTAAAACACACACAGAATGGAGAATCACAGTCAAACAGATTTCCTCCACACAAAAGCAGCATTAATAACCTGCAACTGCAGCAGCATTTATGATCCTGAGTGAAAACTACACTATTCCCTTCACACCGGCTGTGTTCATGAATGATCCAGATCTCCAAAGTGCATGAAAGGTTTGAATTTGTACTTGGTACTTTTCTTAGTTTATTTGGACAGAAATCACCTTGCAGAGAAAGACAGTCGTGCGGATCATGAGTTTGAGTGTGTCTATGAGGAAGCATCAGGTTCTTTATCGGCTTCGGGCAGAACGTGCTACACTGATGTCGGCTGAGAAGATCTGTCTAGCTCTGTCTGTCAGGCCATTAAAATTAGCTTCTGTCTGCCTGGAGAGGCACAACAAGAGACCAGCTGATAATGAATTAAAGTAAAAGGTGTTTTACTGTCCCTTTGCCTCCCTATTTCTCAGCTTCCTCTTCCATCAGCTTCAGAAGCACCGGTTAACACCCGCGGGCTTTACCGAGCCAAAAGCAGAAGTAACGACTCTCAAAGAAAAGCCCCACTGGAGCAAAATTTACATCAGAAAACTGAGAAGATCAAAAACATTGGAACATCAATAAAATTGATATAAGCAATTAGGAAAAAGGGCACGAGAAACAGCTGACTAAAGGTGCTGGCTCATATGGTCATTGTGCAAGTTATTTAACAGCAATGATTAAAAGAAACTCTTATGATTATTTATTAGGAAATTATTTATTTATTTATTAGGTGCTTCAATATTTATTCTTATTCCTATATGCAATCAGCCTATATCTGAGGGACACAAAACCAACCAACACTTAATCTTAGGGATATGTTAATGTTCATGAAAATATATCTGGTCAATAAAGCATTTTATTGCCTTGTGCCTCTTAACTGATTCCTGTATTGTGAAGGAGAAAATGGTCGACCATAACGGCTCAGGAATATTGATGAATTTCACAGTGCTCTATATAGATTGTTGAAACTTCTTTCTAAAATTCCTTACCTCCTTCCACATCCTCACTGCCAAAGTGATTTCTGTAGAAGAGCATGAGTTCAATTCTGTAACACTTATACAGGGACACCAAAAATATCAACATCAGCAGAATGGCTCCCAAACCTCCAGCCAGCTCCACCGTATACATGAGTTCTGCTGAGAGACCGAGACAGAGAGACCGAGACAGTTATAATATGCTCGACATACATCAGCAAACGCTCGCTCTGTCAATCAACATTGTGATCAGGTTAGACTGAAACGTCTCTCCATCTGTTTAGAACATTGTTCTTTCCATCCTGTTTGCATTAAACATGTCAAACAAGTACCAAAGTGAGAGAACTCTTCCTGCACTTCTGCGTTTACCAGTACAGACTGATTACACTGTCTGATATATATCATGCTTTTATATAATCCTATTGCTCAAAATACCTGGTGGAGGGGGGCTTGTCATTCACTAACAAAACATTAAATGTTAAAAATATAAATTAGGGTAACTGACACTTTATTTGTGCAAACAAGTGGGGGGGAGGAACACAATCTAATATATAGTATTTAAAAAGTGAGGAAAAATAATATGTACTGTAAAACAGACATCACATAGTGCAAAATGTATGTTTTAAGAAGAACATTTGAAATTTGAAATTAATTTGAAATGGCTTTGGTAGCAGGGAAGATGCATGGGCATAAATTTGTTATTTTAATGTCAGATTAGGTTTTTACCCCGTTGAGACGTTGATACACAAACATGGACATGTCTACATTCAAGCATTTAGTTTTAAATTTCATATCTGCTTTTGCAGCAGATTTACTTCACAAACAACCTCGCTAGTCACAGAATGTGATTTTGTGGGACTCACTCTGACCGGATCATTTGAGTCAGTGAGTTATTGACTGGAGAACCGTGCAGAACCTGATTTTACCAAGTGCGACATGTTCCTGGATTAACATCTTTGTTGACCCTGGAACAACATTGTGATTAACCAATCAGATTTGAAACACCAGTTTATAGTTTTTGTGAAGTTTAGGCTTACAATCAGTGTTTAAGTGCTTGTACATCAGTGTCATTCATCTATCATTTCCTCTGATTTTAGGGATTACTCATAGTTAAGGTTAGATTTAGGTGTAGGGATATGGTCAAGACTAAGTTCTTGGGTTAAAATGTTGTTCCAGGGTCAACAAAATATGTTGACTTAGGAACACATCTAGCTCAGCAAAATCAGGACATGCGGAGAACCGCTGCTATCTGATCAGTCCAGTTCACAATTTAATTGTGTGATTTGTGAACCGATTTAAGAGGTTCATTAAAAAGAGCATGTGACCATTTGAATACTTGAAAAATGTATTTAAGTACAGTAACGAAGTAAAATACTTTGTTACTGTCCACCATTGAAGTGCAGGTCATTTAATCAAATTCAATTCAAATCTGGGTGGGTTAGCTCCTGCATACCTAACTAGTCTTCTACCACGCTACAATTCATCACGTTCCCTAAGGTCACAAAACTCTGGACTTCTGGTAGTACCTAGGATAGCAAAGTCCCCTAAAGGAGGTAGAGCTTTTTAGCAGTTGGCTCCCAAACTCTGGATTAGCCTTCCTGATAACGTTCGGGCTTCAGACACACTCTCTCTGTTTAAATCTAGATTAAAGACACATCTCTTTGGCCAAGCATTCAAAAAATGCATCTCATAATCTTGTACTGCAGTTATATCTGATCAAAGGCACATTATTATTCTTTAATTTGGGTTAAACAAATCAATTTGTCTTGTCCCGACCCAGCCACGGAGGCTGCCCCTGAACGCTCAGTCTTGTCTATCAACCCCAATGTTCTGTCTGTGTTGTTTGTCTCTGCTCTCTCGTTGTTACAGTCTCCGCCATGGTCTCCTGACCGGTGTGGTTCACCAGGGGGGTTTCCTGTTCCCTCTGCTCCGCCGTGGTGGTCCTCTGCTCTGCAGTGGTGGTCCTCTGCCCCGCCGTGGTGGTCTACTGTCTGGTTCTGGTGGTCCTC